TGTCTACAAGAAACCCACCTCAGAAAAAAAGATGCACACAGACTGAGGGTGAAGGGATGGAAAAAAGTTTTCCAGGCAAATGGAAATGAAAAAAAAGCTGGGGTAGCAATACTTATATCTGACAAATTAGATCTCAGATTGAAGGACATAATAAGAGATAATGAAGGCCACTTCATAATACTAAAGGGAACAATCCAACAAGAAGAAATTACCCTGGTAAATATATATGCACCCAATACAGGAGCAACCAAATACATAAAAAAAACTGCTGGAGGACATTAAGGGAGAGATTCATAGCAATACAATCATAGTAGGAGATTTTAATACCCGTCTGTCACCCTTCGACAAATCATCTAAACAAAAAATCAGCAAAGAAATATCAATCCTAAATGACTCACTAGACCAGATGGAATTAATTGACATCTTCAGAACACTCCACCCCAAAGCCGCAGAATATACATTCTTCTCAAGTGCACATGGGACATTCTCAAAGATAGACCACATTTTGGGACATAGGCAAAGTCTCTTCAAATTTAAGAAGATAGAAATCGTATCAAGTATCTTCTCAGACCATAATGGCATAAAACTGGAAATTAACTACAATAAAAATAATCCAAAGAAATCAAACACATGGAGATTAAACAGCATGCTATTAAACAAGGACTGGGTTACCAGAGAAATCAAGGAAGAAATTAAAAACATCCTGGCAACAAATGACAATGAAAACACAACAATCCAAAATCTATGGGACACAGCAAAAGCAGTTTTGAGAGGGAAGTTCATATCCTTACAAGCCTATTGCAAAAAACTAGAAAAAAGGGTAACAGATGATCTAACTCTACAACTCAAAGAATTAGAAAAGGAGCAACAAGAAAAGCCCAGTGTAAGCAGAAGGAAGGAAATAACAAAAATCAGAGCACAGATAAACGACATAGAGACCAAAAAAACAATACATAAGATCAACAAAACCAAGAGCTTGTTTTTTGAAAGAATAAACAAGATAGATGAACCTCTAGCCAGGCTAACCAAGAAACAAAGAGAGAGGACCCAAATAAACAAAATCAGAAATGAAAGAGGTGAAATAACAACAGACCCCACCGAAATACAACAGATTGTTACAAAATACTACGAACAACTCTATTCCAACAAACTGAACAACCTGGACGAAATGGACATATTCCTAGAAAAATACAACCTTCCAAAACTCAATCAGGAAGAGTCTAAAAATCTCAATAGACCAGTGACGTGGGAAGAAATTGAAACAGTCATCAAAAAGCTTCCAGCAAACAAATGCCCAGGGCCTGATGGCTTCACAGGAGAGTTTTACCAAACATTCAAGGAAGAACTAAAACCTATCCTCCTCAGACTATTCCAAAAAATCCAAGAGGAAGGAACACTACCAAACTCCTTCTATGAAGCCAGCATCACCCTAATACCAAAACCAGATAAAGACAACTCAATGAAAGAGAATTACAGGCCAATATCCCTCATGAACATAGATGCCAAAATCCTCAACAAAATTCTAGCAAATAGACTCCAGATGAACATCACAAAGATCATACACCATGACCAAGTAGGATTTATTCCAGGAATGCAAGGATGGTACAATATCCGCAAATCAATAAACGTGATACATCACATAAACAAACTGAAAGATAAAAATCATATAGTCATATCAATTGATGCAGAAAAAGCATTTGATAAAATCCAACACCCTTTCCTGATAAAAACTCTTAACAAGGTGGGAGTACAAGGATCATACCTCAACATAATAAAAGCTATATATGATAAACCCACAGCCAACATTATACTCAATGGGCAAAAACTAAAACCATTCCCTCTAAGAACAGGAACAAGACAGGGATGCCCACTCTCGCCACTCCTGTTTGACATAGTACTGGAAGTACTAGCCATTGCAATTAGACAAGAGGAGGAAATAAAAGGCATCCAAATTGGAAAAGAAGAAGTAAAGTTATCCTTATTTGCAGATGACATGATACTGTACATAAAAAACCCAAAAGACTCCATTAAAAAACTAATTGACTTAATAAATGAATTTGGCAATGTAGCAGGATACAAAATTAATGCCAAGAAATCCACGGCATTTCTATACACCAACAGCGAAACTATAGAAACAGAGATTAAAAAAGCAATTCCATTTACCATCGCACCAAAAAAATTAAGGTACCTAGGAATAAATTTAACTAAGGAAGTAAAGGACCTATATGCAGAAAACTACATGACACTGAAAAAAGAGATAGAGGAAGATGTAAAGAGATGGAAGAATATACCATGTTCATGGATCGGTAGAATCAACATCATCAAAATGTCCATACTTCCTAAAGCAATCTATAGGTTCAATGCACTCCCCATTAAAATACCAACGGCATATTTCACCGACCTAGAAAGAACTCTCCAAAAGTTCATTTGGAACAATAAAAGACCCCGAATAGCCACAGCAATCCTGAGAAAGAAGGGTAAAGTAGGAGGGATCTCAATACCAGACTTCAAACTGTATTACAAAGCCACTGTTCTCAAAACAGCCTGGTACTGGCACAAGAACAGACATATAGATCAATGGAATAGAATCGAGAACCCAGATATCAACCCAAATCACTATGCTCAATTAATATTTGACAAAGGAGGCACGAATATACAATGGAGTCAAGACAGTTTCTTCAATAAATGGTGTTGGGAAAATTGGGCAGACACATGCAAAAGAATGAAACTAGATCACCAACTTACACCATACACAAAAATAAACTCAAAATGGATACAGGACTTAAACATCAGACGGGAAACCATAAAAATACTAGAAGCATCCGCAGGCAGCAAAATCTCAGACGTATGCCAAAAGAACTTCTTCACTGATACTGCCCCTAGGGCAATGGAAGCTAAAGAGAAAATAAACAAATGGGACTACATCAAAATAAAAAGCTTTTTTTTTTTTTTTTTTTTTTACAGCAAAAGAAACTATCAACAAAACAACAAGAAAGCCCACTGTCTGGGAGAATATATTTGCAAATTTTACCACTGATAAATGTTTAATCTCCAACATCTACAGACAGCTTATACAACTAAATAAAAGGAAGATGAATGATCCAATTAAAAAATGGGCAATGGACCTAAATAGAATATTTACAAAAGAAGACAGAAAGAAGGCCAAAAGGCACATGAAAACATGCTCAAAGTCACTAATTATCCGAGAGATGCAAATCAAAACAACAATGCGGTACCATCTCACACCTGTCAGAATGGCCAACATCAACAAATCAACAAACGACAAGTGTTGGCGAGGTTGCGGAGAAAAAGGAACCCTCGTGCACTGCTAGTGGGAATGCAGACTGGTGCAACCACTGTGGAGGACAGTGTGGAGTTTCCTCAAAAAACTGAGAATGGAACTCCCATTTGACCCAGTAATCCCACTTCTAGGAATATATCCCAAGAAACTAGAAACACCAATCAGAAAGGATATATGCACCCCTATGTTCATAGCAGCACAATCTACAATAGCCAGAATCTGGAAACAGCCGAGGTGCCCGTCAGCTGATGATTGGATCCAAAAACTTTGGTACATCTACACAATGGAATACTATGCTGCCATAAAAAAGAAGGAATTCTCATCATTTGCAGCAACCTGGATGGAATTGGAGAACATCATGCTGAGTGAAATAAGCCAATCAATGAAAGAGAAACACCACATGACCCCACTCATTTGTGGATAATAAAGATCATTATAAACGGATGAACCAAAAGATAGATATAGAGACAGTAAAGCAACAAGCAGATTGTCAAATTACAACGGGGAGGGGAGGAGGGTCTGGGGGAGACAATAAATCAACCCAAGGACTTGTATACATGCATATAAGTACAACCAATGGACATAAAACTCTGGGGAGGGAGGGGATACATGGGAAGGAAGGAGGGGGGCAAAAAAAAATCAATAAAATATGTAAAATAAATAAATAAATAAATAAATAAATTAAAAAAAAATGCACTAGAATATAAAAAAGATCAATTGAGGCAGCATCAATCAGTTTAGAGGAATAAAGAATCATAAGGAATTGAGTGATACCTGCAAACAACTACTGTGAAAGATGCATAATCCTAATTTAAATCCCCATTTCACAGACAAATGTTTGTGTTACTGAATATATATTTTCTTAGTTGTATGCCTGAAAACCTGTATTTATTAACCTATGGGGGAGAGGAGTGGATAGAATCTCTCCTTTAATTATACATTAACTGATACACACAAAATTTCATGTGAATTCTGAAGTCTTCCTTTCATTTACAATGTAATTATCTTAATTCCTGCATCCAGAAACCATCTCTGGATTGCTTTTTACTTATGTATTCCAATTACCTTCCAGAATTCTATACAGAAAGGTATTAAAGTTACATGTTCAATGATCTAAATGCATATAAGCATTATTACAGATTTAAGCTTAATCTCAAACATGATGGACTAAAAACCTAGCTATAAACGTATTTTCAATAAAAATCATAACAGAAACATGGTATTAGGTAAAATGAAGTACAAGAAAGCTTTCTAAAAGCTACATAATTTACATGAGAAACAAAAGAAGCAATAATCCTGAACCATTAGACCACTTTGATTAGTCTTTTGATATTCTAGTTATTTTAAAGCCTATTTGGGCTTTGATGTGATATGGGGGAAAACTGCTCAAAATTTTCCTCATTTGAAAAATCCAGAATGGGAAAGAACTTGGAAACAAAATCCTTAGCAACATGAACAAAAACCATAAGTGAAAGAAAAATCTAACAAGAACATACCTGGGCTCCGTGGCACTTATTAACACAATGGCAAGGGATGAACAAAAGGAAAAACTTTGTCAAGATGTAAATGCTCTATGAGCAGTCTAAATGGATTTAATGAAACATTTTTATTTACAACAGTATTTGTTTCAGAAGTTTTACCTGACAAATAGCCTGTGTTGATTCTGCACTTAAGTTTCTTTGATGGGAATTATTCTTACCTGGGGCTGAAGCTGAAGGCAAGGAAATGCTGTGAGGGCCCAGGCCACTTGTTCCTCATTCTCTGCCAGCGTAATGGTGCAGGTGCTATAAACAAGCACTCCCCCTGGCCTCAGCAGCTTCACTGCCTACAGAAAAATGGGATCAGACTACATGTACCACCAGGCTAAATAAACATAGTAAGGAATTTTACATCTATGTAATATCTTTCAAATATTTGGGATAAATAGAATGATGTTCTCTATGACCAGGATTCTGTCCTAGATATTCCAGACAAATATATTTTCTAGAGACCCGGTGCACAAGTTTTGTGCAGGGGGGAAAGGGTGTCCCTCAGCCAGCCTGATTGATCCCTAACTGCTTCCCTACCAACCTGATTGCCCATAACTGCCCTCCCCTGCAGGCCTGGTCACCCCTAACTGCCCTTCCCTGCAGGCCCAGATGCCCCAACTTCCCTCCTCTGCCAGCCGGTCACCCTTAACTTCCCTCCCCTGCAGGCTTGATTGCCCCCAACTGTCTTCCCTTGCAGGCCTGGTCCCTCCCAACTGCCCTAGCCTGTTGGCCATCTTGTGGTAGCCATCTTGTGTCTACAAGAGGGAAGCCATCTTTGACCACAGGGGGGCAGCCATCTTGTGTGTTAAAATGACAGTCAATTTGCATATTACTCTTTTATTAGATAGGATTATCTTGGAGCCATTTGGGCCAAGACTCCCAAATTGGATCATTTGATTCCATAACTTTAGTTACCAACTTTATATTTTTAGGCCAGTTTTCCTTCGAAATTCCATACTAATATACTGAATTTTATTGCCTTCTCAGTATCTCTATTATGAAATTTGATATGTCCCAAAGTGAACCTCTATCTTCTCTCTGAAACCTATTGGAGATGTATTCCTATCATTCCAAATGTTCAAGTCCCAAATCTTAGATTATCCTTTATCACATTCCTTTCTCACATTCCCAATACACCAGCAAATCGTATTGTCTCTACTTTCAAAATATACACAGAATTTGGCTATGTCTCACCACTTCCATGGCTATCATTCAGATCCAAGCCTCATGGTCATTGCCTGGATCGCTGCAAGTCTCCTACTTAGTCCACTTCTTCCCCTTACTATTCTACAATTTATTATCAGTATGGTAATCAGAACACTACTTTCACGACTTACCACTTCTCAGCTCAGAGCCCTTCAAGTGTCCTCCATTATCACCTAGAGTCAAAGCCCAAGTCCTGAAGGTGACTGTCAATACCCTACACAAAGCAGGCTACTTGCTGCCTCTCTGACCTTGCCTTGACACCTCCTCACTCTGCTTTAGCAACACTGGCCTTTGCTGTTCTGGAATATTCATGGCACACTCCCCCCTATCTCTCCAGGACCTATGCACAAGCTTGGAAATCTCTCCTAATTCTCCTCATTGCTTGCTCTTAACAATTTTCTTATCTCTACTTACATATCACCTTTCCAGCAATACCCACCCTGACCACCCTATGTAAAATTGCAATTATTACCAGCACCCCTCTTCTCCCTTTCTTTCTAATAACTTACTCATCTATTTGCTCATTTTCCTACCCAATCAGAATAGAAACCTAATAAATAAGGGCAGAAACTATTTTATCACTATTGCATTGTCAGCACCTAGAATAATATATTACATAAAATAAGTGCTCAATAAATAATTCCAATAAATAAATGAATCAGGAAATAATGTGTTAAACAAAAATATATTTGTTCCAAATAATTAAAATTTAATGTTTTTAAATTTTTAATGAAAATATTTCAAAATATACACTGAGTGGCCAGATTATTATGATCTCTGAAGGCATAATAATCTAGCTACTCAGTGTGTGTATGTGTGCGTGTGCGTGTGTGTGTGTGTGTGTGTGTGTGTAATGTATACTTATGCTTTTAAATCAGAGTACAGTAGGTCTTTGGGTTATATCAGAGATCTGTTCCTATAGCGTAATATAATGCAATTTTTGCCATAAGTCAGAAACCACCTACATAAGCACTACCTAACTCACATGGAGCACATGCACAACAGTAATGAAGTGAAACAGTAAAAAAAATAAAAATAAAAGATAACAATTCCTAACCTTTATTTGTGGAAAATACAGTAAATAATAAAAAACATAAAGCACATATGTACATATGTCGAAATGATGAAACTTTTAATTTTTTATAAAGAATTAAATATATGCACGGGGATCCCCTCAGCCCAGCCTGCACCCTCTCCAATCCAGGACCCCTCGGGGAATGTCTGTCTGCCAGACATCCCTCTCACAATCTGGGACCACTGGCTCCTAACTGCTCACCTGTCTGCCTGCCTGATTGCCCCCAACTTCCCCCCCTTTGTGGCCTGGTCACCCCAAATGCCCCCCCTGCCAGCACAGTAGCTCCTAACTGCCCCCCCCCCCCTGCTGGCCTGGTTGCCCATAACTATCCTGGTCGCTCCTTACTGCCCCCCATGCCAGCCTGGTCACCCCCAACTACCCACCCCCCCTGGCCTGGTTGCCCCTTACTGCCTGCCATGCTGGCCTGGTCACCACTAACTGCCCCCCTTCCACTGGCCTGGTCACTCCTCACTGGCCCCCTCTATCAGCATGGTTGCCTCTCACTGCGCTCCCCCCATGCTGGCCTGGTCACCTCCAATTGCCCCCCTTGCTGGCCTGGTCGCCCCATGCAGCCTGATGCTCAGTCGTTTGGTCACCCCTCACTGACCCCCTTACTGCCCAATCGCCCCACACAACCTGTTCGGTTGTCCATTTGGTAGCGATAGTCGCTTAGGCATATATATAGATGGGAGATGGCGACATAAACACAAAACGATGTATGTCAAGTCCAACATAACCAAAGGACTGTCTATATGCTGATCAAAATTTAAATTTTGTTATTGTGGGCCAGCTATTATTTTAAGCAACTTACATGGGTTTTCTCAATAAATCTTTTTAACAAATATGACTTATAGTTATGGTTACTCTCTTCTCTGATGTAAATTAGGTAGAGTTATTACCTTCATTTCTCAGATATTGAATCAATGTACCCAAAGTCACTTATGGAGAGGATGCATGACTCTAATCAAGATTTATCTGATTCTGGCATTTCTCAAGAAACAAGAAAATTCTCAAATAAGCAATCAAGCCTTACAGCTAAAGAAACTAAAAAAGAAGAAAAAAAATAAGCCTAAGGTGAATAAAAGGAAATAATAATAAAGATGAGGGCAGAAATAAACAAAATACAGTCGAAAAGAAAACAACAAAAAATATAAATTAAACCAAGAGCTGGTACTTTGAAAAAATAAACAATATACACTGAGTGGCCAGATTATTATGATCTCTGAATGCATAATAATCTGGCCACTCAGTGTATATCTTATATAATAAAATGGTAATATGTGCCGAGACCGGTTTGGCTCAGTGGATAGAGCGTCGGCTTGGGGACTGAAGGGTCCCGGGTTCGATTCTGGTCAAGGGCATGTACCTTGGTTGCGGGCATATCCCCAGTAGGGGGTGTGCAAGAGGCGGCTGATCCATGACGCTCTCTCATCGATGTTTCTGACTCTATCTCTCTCCCTTCCTCTCTGTACAAAATCAATAAAATATATTTAAAATAAATAAATAAATAAATAAAATAAAATGGTAATATGCAAATTCTCTCCTTGACCAGGAATTTGACCAGCAGGCAGGCCAGCCAATCGTCAATGTCCCCTCCCCCTGGCCAGGCTGGCCGGACCCCACCCATGCACGAATTGATGCACCTGGCTCTATATATATATATATATATATATATATATATATATATATGTGTGTGTGTGTGTGTGTGTGTGTATTATATATGGCCAGATTATTATGCATTCAGAGATTATAATCATCTGGCCACTCAGTGTATATATAGCTTTAGCCAGACTCATGAAAAAATAAAAAATAAAAAAATAAAAAAAGAGAGAGCCCAAATAAATAGAATCACAAAAGAAAGAGAAGTCACACTAATACCACAGAAATACAAAGAATTACTGTATATGCCAATAAACAGGACAATCTGAGGGGAAAAAATAGATAAATTTCTAAAACAATACTATCTCCCATGTCTGAATTAAAAAAAAATTTTTTTAAACCTGAACAAACCAATAAATAAAATAGTCAAATAAGTAATAATGATAATAATAAAAAAAACTCCCAATGGAAAAAATCCCTGGAGCATATGACTTCATAGTTGAATTTTAACAAATATCCCCCTCCCAACAAAAAATACTTCGCCTTCTCAAACTATTCTAAAAAAACAAAAAAGGAAGACTTCCAAACGCATTTTATAAGATAAAATCAGTAAAAACATACTAAACACACACACACACACACACACACACACACACACACACACAAAAAAAAAAAAAAAAAAAAAACCAACAACAACAACAAAGAAAACCTGGAAAACAATATGGAAGTTCCTCAAAAATTTTAAATAGAACTACCATATGACTCAGCATTCTCACCTTTGAGTATTTATTTGAAGAAACCCAAAACACTAATTTGAAAAGATATATGCATTGCTATGTTCACTGCAGCATTATTTACAACTAGAGGCCTGGTGCACGAATTTGTGCCTGAGTGGGTTCCCTTGGCCTGGCCTGTGTGATCAGGCCAAAAACGGCTCTCTGAGATCCTCCAAGGGGTCCTGGCTTGCAAGAGGGCGCAGGCCAGGCTGATGGAACCCCACCAGTGCATGATTGGGGCTGGAGAGGGACACAGGAGGATGGCCAGAGAAGGATCACAGGATGGCACCAGGGTATGTTCAGCTCGTCTCGCTCAGTCCTGTCTGGCCAGACCCCAGCAGCAAACTAACATACTGGTCACAGCAACTGACCCCTCATGGTCAGTGCACATCAAAGCGAGTCTTAGCATATCACTAGCATATTATGTTGGTTGAATAGATAACCAGATGACTGGACACTTAGCATATTAGGCTTTTATTATATAGGACTAGTGACCTGGTGGATGAGATTCATGCACCTTAAAAGGGAATTAATTAGAGGAAGTATTTTTAATATTGCTCTTTGCTCTTTCTCTATAATAGAAGTGACAGAGATGAAAGGAAATTAGTAAAATGTTTATGAAAATCTTCATCCTGTTACGAGTCTGGGGCGAACCACGGGAACCAGAGTTAATTCCCTGCCCAGCCATGGGCTCCTCAAAATTGTGAGAGACCCAGACCCGGCCGGCCCCACCCCTGTCAAGCCCCCCTGGGTGAGGGGTGTGGCCTCAGGTCACCTGGCCCAGCACCAGGGTGGAGGGCATGGGGGGGGGGGGGGACACATCCTGAGATCCCCCGTCAAGCCTCTCCATGCAAGGGGTGCAGCCTCACACTGCTGGGCAATCATCTCCATTATCTAAATCCAGACTTTTCTCATCATCTTAAACTTAAACTCTGTGCCCATTAAACAATAACTGCTATTCCTTCATATCTCCAGCCACTGGTAACCACTAGTCTCTATGAATCTGCCCATTCTAAGTTACCTTATATAAATGGAATCATATAATATTTGTCTTTTATGTCTGGTATAATGTTTCAAAGTCCATCCATGTATCAGAACTTCATTCCTTTGTAAGGCTGAATAATATTGCACTGTATGTATACCACATTTTGCTTATTTACCTGTTGATGGACACTTCAGTGGTTTCCACATTTGGTTAGTGTGAACGATGCTGCTATGAACACCACTTTAAATCATTTAAACATCAAACCAGTGAAGGCCAACTGTCTTTCACAGCAAAGTGTCATCACATACCACAGTAAAGAGTTTTCGCTGCAAGGGTTGATATGATGTCACCTCCTTCAAAGTCCAAGAACAAGCCATGTTTGGTCTCTGCCCCAGTCCACTGCAGGGTGCATCAAGAAGAATTCGATCAAAAGATTCTGGTAAGAATGGGGGCTCTCCTATAAAGAGAATTATAAGCATGTTTATATCTGCCCTATTTGTTTACAATAAAAAAAATTCCTGAGACAGAAGCGATTATCAGGAATTTAAAATCAGTCTGGAATAGAAAGTAGAAAAACAATTACTCCCTTCAATCAATGAAAGTAATTTTTACTTATATTTAATACTGGAGGTCCAATACATGAAGATTTGTACAAGAATGAGCCTTCCTTTCACTGGCTGCCGGGACCACCTTCGCTTCAACCTGGAGCCCCCTTCCCGCCTTCCCACGCTGCCCAGAGACCTGGAGCAGCTGAGGTGGTATGCCCTGGGCAGCTCAGTCCTGTGTATGCAAATTAACCCATCATCTTTGTTGGGATAATTTGCATGCTCACTCCTAATTGGCTGACGGATGTCGTGAAGGTACAATACGCTAATATGGTCAATTAGCATATTGCTCTTTTCTTAGGTAGATAGATCTGACTTTATAAAAAGGATAAAGACTATTACAATTAAGGGTTATTGATAATCATGATACAGTGTAAATCAAGTCCTAAGCAAACATGTATCCCCAATGTCAGAAGCCACAATTCATTAGAGCTAAGACCTGGAAAGAATTCAAGTCATTCTGACAGCTGATACTTCTCGTAGTAATCCTCACTGCAGACAGCACCAGAAAAAGAGAACACCTATCAGGTTCCAGTCAAGTATACTAAATTGTGTGGTTTCTCAGGCTCCTTGCTCTGCGGCCATCAGCAAGGCTATGCTCTACATTGAGAGAACAGCTCTCTAGACCCAATCTTTCACAGGTTTCCCTATGAAATCAATAATTTTCTTCATTCTAACTTCTGATATATTTATTGTTACTAGAGCAAGTCATAAAAACCAAACAGTCTGCTTTTATAATATTTACCAGAGGCCTGATGCATGAAATTGTGCAAGAGTAGGCCTTCCTTCCCCCAGCTGCCAGCACCAGCTTCTCTCTGGCCCCAGCTTCATCCAGAAGAATGTCCGGTCTAAGTCACACATTACACTTTTATTATTATAGACTAGGGGCCCGGTGCACAAAATTCATGCACTGGGAAGGGGTCCCTCGGCCAGCCTTCCCCCTCTCACATACTGGGAGCCCTCAGGGGATGTACTGATGGCTGAAGCCCACTCCCCAATGAGAAGGGACCTAAGCCACAGACTGGCCTCCCTTTGCTTGAGGCAACCGGGCCAATCAGGGGAAGGCGCCAGCCCCATCACCTCGCTACTGCAGACGCCAAGGTATTTTCATCAACATGGAACCCACTCCCTTCACCATGAAAAAACGACAACTTTCTTTAAGCATTTTCAAGATGTGTCTTTCATAGGATATGACATTTCTTTATTTTTCTTTTTATCTTCCCCTGAGGATATGTTTCCATTGATATTTTCCTCTTCCCTCCGATCCCAAAGCTCAGCGCCTTCCCATGCCAAAAGCCTCCGCCCCAGGTTTAGGCTTGACCCCTTCCCAAGTCTATAGCCTCCGCCCTAGCCTTTAGGCTTGGGAAGGGGTATCCCCCACCCCCACATCTTCGATCACAGGCTCGGTCCCTTCCTAAGCCTAAAGCCTCCACCCCAGGCTTTAGGCTTGGGAAGGAGTTCCCTACTCCCAGCACCTCCGATCACAGGCTCAGCCCCTTCCCAAGCTAAAGCCTCCACCCCAGGCTTTAGGCTTGGGAAGGGGTCCTCCGCGCCCCACCAGAACCTCCAATCAGAGGCTTGGTCCCTTTCCACACCTAAAGCCTCCACCCCAGATTTTGGACTTGGGAAGGGGACCCCTGCCCCTCCAATTGCAGGCTCGGCCCTTCCCAAACCTAAATCCTCTGCCTGATGGATGGCTGGGAGTGAACTGGGTACTGAGAATGTTCCCCGGACCCAGGTATGTATGCAAATTAAATGCCGCCTTTGTTGGGTTAATTTGCATACTCACTCTGATTAGCTGTGGGCATGGCGAAGGTACAGTCAATTTACATGATTCTCTATTATTAGGTAAGATAGATGCTAAGTAACTATAAGCAAGATAATGCTGCTGACTGCTTTTACACAAAGCTAGTTGATTTCCTACTGTATTCACAGCATCGTTCTGCTTTTCTTTGATTGTAAAACTGTTAGACACAAGCTCTTATTAATTCATCTCTACTATAACCATCCTTGCTTTCTTACTTAATGTCTCAGGAAAACGTACCTTTTCAATGTAAATTATTTTCAAGGTTTTTGATATATATTGATACACTATATCTAGAAAGACTATACCAATTTACATTTCTAGATCATGAGTATATTTGTCTTCCCCAAATCCTCATCAGAATTGATAATTATTGCACAGCTGGTGTGGCTCAGTGGTTGAACGTTGACCTATAAACTTGGGGGTGAAGATTCAATTTGCGGTCATGGCACATTCCTGGATTGCCAGCACAATCCGCAGTGGGGGTGGGGTACCACAAAGGAGTCAGCCAATCGAAAATTCTCTCTCATCATTGATGTTTCTATCTCTTGATTTCTCTCTCTGACATCAATAAAAATCTATTTTTTTTTGACAATTATTTTACTGGCCATTTGTATTTTTTCTGTATATGGTCACATTCTTTATTTTTGGCCTTTTTCCACTGAGATTGCTATATTTTCCTTTATTAATTAGAAGAGTCCTTTGTATATTAAGAATATTAACCTCTCCTCTAAGTTTTTGGATCTTTTTATATATGTTACTAGGGCGCAACGTGAAAGAAATTGTGGGCCACAAGGCTGCAGTGAGCATAGGGGCGGGTCTTGACCCATCCTCCTTGCCCCCAACCGACCCCTATCCCCATGGCTCTCAGTCCCCTGTCTGCTGGAAGCCCCACTACAACTGCCATTGCTCCCATGTGCTAACAGTGCGCAATGATTGGGGCCAGTGCCAGCAGCAGGTGCAAGCACAGCCTACCCCCATCAGTCTGTGCGAATGGCTGCTGCTGCCCCAATTGTCCCTCAGGAGTAGGGGAGGTGGAGTAGCTCTCAGGGGCAATTGGGGCCAGCAGTCACCACTCACACCTGCTGATGGTGCCAAGTGATTGCAACAGGTGCCAGGTGCCAGCAGCAGGTGCAAGTGGTGGCTCCAGCGCCGGCTGTAGATGCAGCTGGGGCCAAAACTGGCAGAAGGTGTGAATGGTGGCTCCAGCACTAGCAGCATGTGCAAGCAGGGCCATTGGCAGCAGCCGGTATGAGATGTGGCTGCCGGCCCAAATCACCCCCCAGGAGCAGGAGGAGGTGAAGGAGCCCTGGGGCTGGCAGCTGCCACTCATACTTGCTGATGGTGCCGAGTGTTGGGGCAGGCGCCGGGCTCCGGCAGTGGGTGCGAGTGCCCAGCTGGACCGTGGCACACAGGAAATTTTTTCAGTAACCACCAGAGGATCGCCCTGATGACAGCAACCAGCGCCCCACCTAGGTCTGGCACCCCTGCACACCTGCTCCATCATCCCGCTGTGGTTAATGCCCAGCATGTTCCGTGCTCTGCCGCCTGCTGCCAATGCCCACCATGTTCTGTGTGCACACCCTGGTGATCAGCACATGTTATAGGGACCAGTTGTGCCACTGTTCTGCTGTTTAATCTATTTGAATATTAGGGTTTTATATATATAGATTGCTGAATATTAAATATATCTTATTCCTTGTTGAGTTTTATCTTTTCTTTCATGCTTTAAAATCCTTTCCATTAGTGTAATTTATAAATGTTCACCTTTATGTGCTTCTAGTTATTTTAAGTTTAATTCTTTATAGTAAATTCCTTAATCCATCTTCAAATTACTTTTGTGTACATCAAGCATGTCAAACTCAAAGCCTTCGAGCTGCATGCCTTGTTTATTTAAGTGAGTTGTACACACTTCCCCCCACCCTCCAAAATAATTTGTCACAGATTTACTTATTAACTAATTTATTCTTTCTTCCAGGTTTGAAATGCTTCTTTTATCATATACTAAATTCTAATGTATATATAAGGACCCATTTCTAGGGCTTTTGTTTTGCTTCAAATTTGCTAGCTATTAATTTCTATTTTCTGAGCTCCAAATCTACCCTCTCTCCTCTGCTAAGATAAAACAGAACATTGCACTGTTACCAAGATGCATGAACTTTCCTATGTGTATGCCTCTGCTAATTCTCACCTGCGATGTCCCCTGCACTCATTTCCATTTGTCAAAATGTTACGCACCCTTTCGAAGCCTGACAAATGACTCCTCCGCCCCTAACTCTTTTTCTATTGTCCCTGTGAGAAATAAACATTCTGACTTCATTTTGTATCTTTCAGATGCACAGTCTTAAATTATAGTCACCAGTGTTCAGGTCTTATTCTCCTCCACCCAAGACATTAAAAAATCCTTAAAAGCCAAGAAATCTTCAAGCTCACAGAATACTTTTGTGTGAACTAGAACTAAGGCACCCCTTCCTCTGGATTAACACTGTCCTGCACACAATGAACAGAGCAGAGGCCAGATTTCAGTTCCCACTAATCCCTTAGCCTGGTGCACTTGCACAGGCACAACTGTACACTGTGACCCTGAGGATGGGAGCAATGCCTGGTCACTCACGCTTCCTAATAAGTGCAATTTTAATGGAAGGTACTGGATGACTATTAAAAAAATAAAATTAAGAAATTCATAAAAATATTCTAAACCCATAGTAGATCAGACAAAAATATCACCAAAACACTGCCTAAATGCACCTGCTCCAAGTGAAATTTCTCTTTTTCAAACCAAAAAGGCATGTGATAAACTTTTAAGGCTTATGTACTGCAATAGTCCCAGTATTTTTGTTTCATAAACTTTTTTCTCATAATATATATTGGAATTACTTTTAGAGATTTGTAAAGCTGTACTGTTTTTGGGATGGTATATACCATAATTCAGGACTAATTTTTTTGTTAAAAAATAAATGAAATTGAGACAACTTTTGGAATGAGGACATGAGCAATTCCACAACCTTTTCTCCACTTAAATAACCATAAGTGGTGAAAATTATAAAA